TTCAAGATTTTCTACCCAAAAAATAGATTTTTATCGATATTAATTTAAAAAAAACCCTTTTGGGTTAGTATTCCAACGTGGGCCATTACTGAAAGAGATTTGGCCTACATAAAGTACAATTTTTCAATTTTAACAATTTCCATTTCCAATTTAAAAGAACAAGGTCTACCATTAGCTGAAGCTATAAATGTAATTGAAAATGTTGAAAAAGTATTTCAAATTCTTCAAGGACTAATTGGAAAAGCTGTTTTTAATAAACTCATATCGTCACCCATAAAAATGTCGGTCTTAAAGTTTAAAAAAATATTTCAAATGTAGTATCTGGTATTTATATGAACACAGAACTTGACGACTGGAGACTTCTCAAAAGATGATTTCGTATACTTTAAGTTTGCACCAATCACGTCAGTGGACATCGAGCGATTGTTTTCAATGTACAAGACTCTACTCTGTAACAATCGAAAATCATTTCAATTTGAAAACTTGTACAAACATCTAATTATTCAATGTAACTTTCAAGGTAAATGCATATAATAAATATTTAAAAAATATAATTAAAAATGTATATATTTTTTTTTTTAACAGAACAATCACTGAGTAAATGAGTTATGAGTACCACAAGTTGTTTATGATACAATAAAGTGCAATAGTTCTGATGTAATATTATTCATTTTTTTTTTTTTAATAATAGAAGCTAAAATAATAAAATGGCGGGGCGATAACAAACAAGTACCCAAAAATCAAACTGAATTTTTTTCCGTTAATAATTTAATTGGATTTTTTTCCGACTCCCGGTGTTAGTAATGAAGAAATGAAAAAAATTAGACGAACTTTTCGTTTTTCACCGCGTTAAACCCGATGGCGTATTTAAAAATTATCACTGAATTCAATTCGAAGTTATAATTATTGGAATTTGGGAGTGTTCAATGTTTTGTGCTATGTCTGCCCCATAGATATGAATTATCCATGTATATGTGCCATGGCAGGCGGCAATCGCGTACGTATTTAAAGTTTATCCTAGATTGTGTGTATAGTGCACGGTCTTAGATTATACACTAATAACACTATACACCATAGGCGTGTCTACGGGGGGTGGCAGGGTGGGCACCGGCCTCTCCAGTGACTTGATTCTTGGCGTATATTCCATATAGTTAGTGGTGCTATATAATTTCCTTACAAAAATATAAAGTCACAAATATAGATTATAAAATAGTAAATACAGATCGTTGTAGTAAGTTGTGGTGAGGTCTCTCCAGACCACCACGTACAATGTCAAGATCAATTAAACAATACAATTAACCTTTGACAGGATTGCACATTATTAATACACGTTTATTAACTTTTAAAGGAACAACAATTGTACATCACAGGCATAGACGCATAGTTAATACATAATAATAAATAATAATAATCGGTTGGTCAGTTGGTGTCGTGCTCAKTCGATTAAGTGAATCGACTGTGGCGCCACCAGTCACCAATTTATTATACTACTAAAATGATAATAATAGTGATAATAGTAATTATAATATAATAATAATAGTAATAATAATATTACTACAAAGTAAAAATTTAAATTTTATAAATTGCCTCCCCAGCCATGAAGRCCTGGACACGCCTATGCTATACACTGTCTACAGTGTCTACACTCAGATCTATACGATATTATACGTATTTATATATATTAATGATATTAAATAATCATATACGTTAAACTTTAAATACGCTTATGAGTTATTATGACCTGTAAGCCCTATGCTTATATAATTATTAAAATTACATATAATATGTCTATGGCCCRAAACCGAAGAGGCCTAGGGGTCGATTTTTGAACGACGCGTCGACGCTATTTATTAGTCGTATACCCACGRCAATATTAAACGTTGTCGAATGAGATTCGATGTTTACTATTCTTGAATTTCATATGACTGATTAGCGTTTAAAAAGTCAAGCGCCTTCTAAAAGTATGGGTCTAATTTCTAATCACTCACCATTCAGTTGTCGAATGCGACAATAGTAAAATCTGCATGAAACTATAAACCATGTAAATTTTTTTATTCATATCTCGTCTTTATCACTACGGGTCCAAGTTTCATTATTTTTATAATTTTTTTTTTCAAYATCTAGGTAATAAAATTTAAAAAAATATAATTTCATACAGGTCTACAAAATGGCTAGTTTTGATGACTTAGCAAACTTATTTTTTATTGAAAATATAACAAAATCAAATTAATTTTCAAACACAACCAAGCCTAAGAAGAGTGGATCCAATATACATTACGTCATGCGCAACTCGTTCAGAATTTGGGAAATAAAAGATAAAGCTATAATATTTTTACCATGAGGTTTTTGGTTTGAGTCGTTTGAGAAGCCATGGCCAGAGCTTGGTAATAATACTATAATCAGATAAATGCACATAATATTATTGTTATTAACCTTGATATTGATAGTATCACAATTGTATACAATACACCTGTCCTATATAGCAGCTGGTATTGAAGTTTAAACCACGTATTAAATTCTACTTAAGTTTATTTTTCTTTCMTTGACTACATTATTACTATAGATCGACCTATCTGCTGCCGTCTGCCGTTGTGTACACACTACACAGTACCATGACAAAAATACAAAATAACTAGAAGTTAATGATTTTAACATGCACTGTATAATTGTGCGTAATAAATAATAATCGGTATCCGTTGGCCWCAGCCAGATCAGACGTTATTSGTTTGTATATTGTATAATTATATAAATTATAGTTTGTTTACTTTGCTACACACCGTGTTGATCGTCAACTACGAAATCACAACTTTTGACGACGCCGTGGGTGATGTGCAAAATGGAAGCAGCAACTACRACGATGACATGTACGGACACTACCAACGACCATCATACTATATTGAAACAACCGACCAAAGTCCTCTTGACGCTTAGCAACGTATTGTTGYCTAAGGAAAAGCTCATGTTTACACCGTCGATGATCGACGGGTTAGATTTCGAGACCGAAGTCGATCTTAGGATTGTCGGTTGTGAGTGGATTCAAACCGCTGGCATCTTACTCAAACTACCCCAGGTGAAACTTTAAGTTAATTGTTTTCATCATATCTACATATAATCTACATATACCTACTTCTTGTAATGGTAGATGGAAACTTATATAATATGTAACAATGTATAGGTATGCGTGCTTAAATCTCCATATATTTACCCATGTGGTATAAGAATATTGTTCATTTTAAAAGGTTTTGAATATTTTCAAGGTGAAAGTGCTAAATATTTTTAATATCAACGTTATTCTAACGATGGCAGCAGAGGAGTAGTATTGTGCAAACAGATCCTCCTCTGCTGTTGGTTCTAACCAGGAAAAAAAAATATTTTTAATATCAAAATAAAAAWTTTTTATCTGAATTGCGACAATATTGCCAAAAATATTTTAGGTATTTAAACCCCAGCTGCAAACACACCAAATCCCACTCATTAAAAACCTATGGTCATCTACATTATATATAATATGATTTTTATTTTTCAGGTTGCAATGGCAACTGGACAAGTGTTGTTTCAGCGATTTTATTACACAAAATCTTTTGTTCGTCACCCAATGGAAATAACTGCAATGGCATGCACATGCTTAGCTTCTAAAGTTGAAGAATCACCACGACGTATTCGTGATGTTATTAATGTTTATCATCAYATTCGTCAAGTATTAAATCAAAAGTAAGTTTAGGTGGTTTTATTTTCAATATTATTATATTTTTTATTTGAGTCATATTTAAATATTTTTAATCACAACTGACTAAACTGTTAGAGTATGTTTCTATCACAAAGACTAGATTCTCTCTGTAATCTTCATGGTTTTCATATGTAAATCTTACATTTTGTTTTTTACTTTAAATCGTTAGGTATCAAAAGTATTTATTTAACCCTAAAGTACACACTTCACTGTATAAAATGTTTAGCTTCTAGTTTTTATTCATTAATTTTCAAAATATCAGCTTTAATTAATTAGTACCTCATGAGTTTTCACTGTTATATGATTAACTATAATTACCAATTAGTTACAACTTCCAACATCATATGATGAAATTTCCTGTAGTTTATAATATAGAAACATTCAAAATTCATTAACCATTATAACACAGTTTAAAAGATTATACTATGATGTTTATAAATAATTTAAATTGTATTATATTCACGAGCTTAGATAGAAAAACTCTATCGTGATTTTTCTTTTTAATTGTTTCTCAATTACCGATTGATAAAAATTATCATTGAAATTAAAATATATTTTGTAAAACAATTGACAATAATATATAGTTTGATTTGTTTTAATCTACATATGTACTCTATAAATTATTATTATTTAAATTTATTGAGTTTTAATTGAAATATTTTAATCCACGGTCAAAAACACCATGTTTGTGAAATCTGATGTTTATGATGCATGTTATCTAGGGTTAAATTATTCTAACTAGATGTTCCCATTACGAGATTATTTTAATCCAGAACATAATTATGTTTCGATTTTAAATATAAGTACTATTAGTATTAATATTAATATTTGCTTACTATAATTATTAGTTAGACTAAGTATAAAAAAAAAATCAAAACTTCTCAAGAACTCTTTGTTTTGTCACTGTACTTGCGACACATATATTTTAATCCAGGTATAAACTTAATAACAAACTATTTTAGAAACTTGAGTATATACTAAGGTTAAATCCAGTTTAAATATGTATACCTATAAGATACAAAAGTTAATTTATCAATATATATGATTTTATTGTCTTTGCTTCATTTAATGTTAATTCCAGTTAATGCTCTATTTAATACTTATTGCCTTTTAAAATTTAATTTTAGCTTAATTTCAACAATTCAGTATCCATTWCCTAGATCTTGCAGAATTCGAGAATGTTCATGTGTGAACTTTCATCATTTTATAGAAGATTGATTGATAGAATGAATATCCATAACTACTTAAGAAGTTAAACACTAAGACAAACACATTTTAAGTCTTAAAATCTAATTTGATTTCTCTTTTCCAGTATTAAGTTAGAATTCTTTTAGTTACTTAGATCTTAAATACCTTTAGATATCTTACARTAGTCGCATAATGTATAGTTCTTAAATATTCTAATATCTTTATAACTATGAATAATTGCAAAATAAACTTATATTAGTAAAAATCATTTTATAAGAAAAACAATATATCTTTTGAAATAATTCATTTTAAATTTCTGAATAATATTACTGAATACTAGTAAAAAAAAACAAGTATTGAACAATCTGGTTTTCATGAAMTTCAAAAATTTTAGATATTCATCATCATGTTTAAAAAAAGGTTAAATTATTACTTTTATTTCTAGTAAATGTTGATATTTGTTTTGTTCTGTTATTATTATAGTTGATGTATATAACAAGTACAAGTCATTCATGCTAACCCTAATTTTATCATTTAATTTTTATTTATTCAGGTTCTGATTTTTGACATTTATCAAGTATACTTACAAACTATAATCTAGTATAATATATTATACAATTTTAACAAATAATTATTTATTTTTAATGTTACGCATCTATATCAAAATATAAAATGAATAGTTTCTTAGTTATTAATTGGTATCAGTCCCCTGTTTAACTGTTGACTATTTAAGACATAAGTCCTTAATAATGGTTTTATGTAAAACACAAAATAGATGTAATATTTATTCTACATCTTATTAAACTAGCCACTAGGAAAATTTTTACAAATTTTAAAATGTTTAAGTTAGTAACTACTTAACAATAGTATTAAAATTATTATGGTCCCATATCTTCTATATCTATTATCACGGACATTTACCCTTAATGCATAAAAATTAATAACCTAGAAACTATATAAATTAAATTAATATTTAAATTTTAAATCCATCAGTGTAAGAATAACACTTTGTAATGGCAAAATCCCATTATTCAGAATTGAATGAATTAAAATTTAAAACAAAAGATGGGTTAATGAATCACCTTGTACTGGTATAATTACTTAAATTAAAATTACTTAAAAGCTACAATGTGTTGATTTAATGTGATAACTGTAGAGTACACAAAAATTTATTTATTTTGTACACGGTGCGGGAAAACAAGTAGTGCAGATTTGAAAGTCTATTTTAAAAAAAGAACGCAACTTATAGAAATGAAGTTTAATTAATTTTCTTCAGTATATCATGCCGTTTTATGGATTATGTTTAAAAATGACATCAGAAAGATAATGACCGCAACAGCAATACATTGATGAAGGCGATTTCTGAAGTTTTTGGCTGCATTTTTATACATTTCAACTGGTTTAGCGCTGATTTCCTCCCAAATTCACTGTTTGAGTTCTTCCAAAGTGTGAGGCCTACTTTTAAAAACTTTTTCCTTCAGGTGTAGTCCAAAAAGAAAAAATCACAAATGCTTTACCAATCAAAATGTGGCTGAAAACACTGCAAAAAGAAAAAAGAAATCACCTTCATCAATATATTGCTGCCAGCAGCCAATTTGATCTAGCGGATGTCATTTTTAAAATTTAATACATAAAATGGCGTGATTTATTGTTAAAGATTAAATAAAGCTCATTTCTATAAGATGCATATTTTTTTTAAATATACTTTCAAAGCTGCACTACTTGTTTTGCCGCACTTGTACTTATTTAATATATATTTGTATATTGTTAAATGCAACTATGTCAATGGTTGTTAATATTAATCCAAGTGCAAATGTTATGCTCAAATTTATTTTATAACTTGCGTTTTCGCAGATACTTTCCACAGCTAACCGCCGGGTGAGTTACCCTCGGTTTGAATTGTGGAGAGGAAAGCGAATGTGGTGGATTCATATTGAAATCAATGGTCGTCACGTCAAGAACATTGTTGGTGGACCCTTTAAAAATTATATTGTTACATGATTTAGCCAAAAATAAGCTAAGAGGTTTTCTCCAAAAAAAATTGTTAGGGTTTGTCAAAATGTACATATAAGTATATACATTATATATATATAWATATTTATGTATTTATCAAAAAGACAGGTATAGTATAAATCCAATGTGCATATTATATTATGTGCTCTATTGAGTGATTTTACTTAATTGTAAAAGTTTTGTATTAAGCATACAAAGAATTTCACAGACAAATGATAACTGTTGTTTCTGCAATGGGATTCAAGATAGCCAAAGATGTTTGAATGTGTCATGCACCATTTGAAGGTTATTCTACATCTCATAAGGTACCTAACCTCTATTTGTAGACATTAAAAACAATTTAGATAAAATCTGAAGCTGAAGTGAATTTTTTTTCATATTTTTGTTTTAAGGTGAATGTTAATAATTTAATATACAGTTACTGAAATATGAACAAACCAAACTATTTAAATTGGTAAACTTTAAAATGCTGGTGGAATAGATTCAAGGATTAATAAACTTAATAACAGGAAAAATTTAAAATATTTAAATTCCCTGAGGGTCTGATAATTATTATGTTTAATGATATTAAATCTAAATGTATTTTGGATTATGGCATTTAAATATTAAATTTCACTTGACTTAAATATGAAACAATCTTTATTCATACTTTCTATAAAGTTAATTATTTTTCAATGAATTTTATATTGTGTTTAGTAKATAATATATACATTATTAGATCTAAATGTAATAATATTAGAAATTATAATTTAATTAGTTAATTTTTTTGGTGAAAAATCTGTCTTTTATATTTGATAATTATAGCATACTTACAGTTTATCTAATAATGTATTATAATTATTTTTGTTATAATAAGTATGTAAGTATGTCTAGTCTATTTGAGTTTAATAGACAATAAGTCAATTAACCACAAGTCCAATAAACGGCAACTACTTTAGTTAAATAATAATATAATAAATTATGTTAGGTATATATAAGTTTAGATTTTTAAAAAATTGGGTATTTTTAAAAATTATTATTTCAGAATTTCAACAAGAATATTAAATTTAAAAAAAGCTGTTAACTATTTATAAAAAAAATAAAAATGAAACATTTTATTTGAGTATATATAATTTTATAAATTAAAATAGTTATGTATTTTTCTACAACAATTAAAACTTAAAACAAATAATAAATGTAGTCAGTTGTGGTTGATCATACTATTAATTATTTAAAAATTTTACCATGGTATTGCCGTGTGATCACTTGTCCAAAAATGCCCCTCCACTTTTGCAGATTGATTACGCCATTGGTACTTGATCAAAATTATGTACAGAAAAAGACCCAGGTAATAAAAGCGGAACGACGCGTGCTCAAGGAGCTTGGCTTTTGCGTGCATGTTAAACACCCGCATAAACTCATTGTAATGTACCTACAGGCACTTGGATTTGAGAAACATCAGTCAATAATGCAGATGTCCTGGAACTATATGAATGATTCATTACAAACCGATGTATTTGTTCAATTTGATCCAGAAACTATTGCTTGCGCTTGTATATATCTATCGGCTAGGAAATTACRAATACCTTTGCCAAAAAGTCCAGCATGGTACTCTTTATTTAATTCGAGTGAAACAGATATCCAGGACATCTGYCGTAAAATACTCAAACTTTATCTTAGACCAAAAGTGAGTAAAGAATCATAGTTTGTGTGTTCAGTATAACAATATTTGTTTGATGGTATTTTTTAGGCTATCACAGAAGATTTAGAAAAACGAGTAGAAGAATCAAAGAAAGAATATGATAATGCTAAGGAGAAARCTAAAGAAGCCATTGTTCATCCAGTTGTACGAACTGAATTAGTGATGCCTAATCCTAGTAATGGAATAACTACTGCTGTCCCAGGAAATAATAGTTCAACCACCCCAAATAAGTAAGTATTTACTCCCAAACTCTTAAATATATAACATATACGCGCATAAACATAAATGTTGTGTTAATTATATTAATTCATCTTATAGAAAGCCATTCAATAAAAGGAATAG